ATGACAACCTCATACTGCAGAGTTCTCCCCAGGTGCTGAAGGTGCTTTGGAACCTAAGGGAGGTGGTTGTTGTCTAACTAAGCGAATGTATTCAATGCTGCTAAATTGTTTATTTTAAAATGGTTAACTTAACTTTCTGTGAGTTTTACTTCAATTTTGAAATATGATGTTTCAGGCTGGTAGAATCCTGCTCCCTCCTGGGAAGCCCTGAAAGCAAGTCTGCAGAGTTCCCTAGCACTGGGCTGCAGGTCTTCATGAGCCTCAGAAAGCCAGTGGTAGGAGTGCATGGAGCTCAGCATGTGGCTTGTGTTTTCACCATATGTAGGTTTTCTATGCAGTTTTGACTTTAAAACTGCCCTACTCCAGCCTCCCGGAGTCCTAGTGTTACAGGGTATGCCACCACATCTGGCTGTACAGCTGTGTTTGAAAACAGGTTAGTGACCAACAAACACATCCTGTAAGATCAGTCACCTTTGACTTGAGATTGGCGCAGAGTCTTATATTTCAGGAGATGCCTAATAAGGGGTCACATAGAATGTGATTCAAACTTCTATTTATTTTTTTCTTTGCTTCCTTAGCATCCTGATTCTGTCTTTCGCTGTCAGGCTGCCACAGGGCTGCATTCGTAGCCCCCTGGGATGCTGCTTGCATAGAAAAGGTGCTGCTCTAGAAATATTTGTTCAGTGAACAAAGAGATTGATAACTGTTGGCAATGGGAGTGTGCTAGGCTGTCAATACTTTCCTGGCTTGCTTTCCTTAATTGTGACAGATCTTGAGTGTAGCTCTTATTTGATAATAAAGGAAGGATTGGGGGACAAAATTAATAATTCACCATTTGAGAAAATTTGGATTCAGACAGTCTGGTTACCACATCTCCCCTTCTGCTTGAGTTACTGGTTAACATAAGAGATATTGGATAAACACAAGATTCCCACTCATATCTAAATTTCAGATCAACATTGCTTCTCAGCCTTTTGGCTAAGATGAAGTATAGTATCAGATAAACAATACGTGCCATGCAAGCTTTGGGGCACACTAAAATGTTATTGATTATTTATATGAAATTTAAATGGAACTGGGCATCCTGTATCTTGACTTTCTAAATCTGGACCTTCTGCTTTATTAAAGGGCTCATTGTGACTCACCACAAGGCCTTTTGCCCCGGATCCAGTGTCCTCTTAGCAGCTGGAAGGCCATGGCCCTGTTTGGCCTCTGAAATCCCAGTGCATTTGCCAGGAAACAATCTGGTTGTCACCAGGGTTTCCAGCATTGTTCAGCACAGAAATGACTCAGGTGTGAATCATTTGGCCCCAGAGATGGCTTTGTTTTGTTTCTTACTGCCAATAGGAAAGCCCACGTCATCAGCGTGTTCTGATGTCCCCCACAGTCTGTGTGAGCAGGATGAGCTAAAAGACTCAGGGCTGCGGCACAGAGGTTCGCCATCCTGTGCGTAGCCTGAGACTGGCGGAATGGCCCCCTCCTGTGCACTTCACTTTTTGCTTCTCCTTCTCCTGGGGTCTGGGCCTGGTGTGTGATATGGGTGTTGCAAGTGCTTATGACGCCCTCTGCCATACCATGATACAGGTTCCCGAGAGCCTCTGCCCGCTCACCCCGGCACTCAGGGTGAGTATTTTGTTCTTTGCACAGCTGCTTGCCGCCTCTGCAGATGCATTAGTCATTTCATGGAGAATGTTCAACAAACTTGTGTTGAGCTCGCTGACTCCATGATCCTGGCGTTGCGCGAGATGCCTGGAATCCAAAGGTGTTCACAACATTGTCATTGCCTTGAGGAACTCAAGAGGCAGAAATTTAAAAAATTAAGACTTCTAATTGTGATCTAAAGCATTGTAAAGAAGTCAAATTTATCACTGTTACCATTTCTAAGTTCATGAGTGTGAAATGTATTTACATCTTGTCCAGCCAAACTTCTGAGCTTTTCCATTTTCCCATACTGAAGCTCTGTGCCTGATAAACAACTCTTCACTCCCCGTTCTCACATCTTTAAAGTTTATCTCTATTATAGCCCATGTCGACATAGCTTCCCTTCTGAACCTGAATTGCATTCCATGGTAAGTGCACTGTATATTTGGCTTATCTGTTTGCCTACTAATGGACACTTGGGTTGCTTCCACTTCCTGGATCTTGTGGGAATTTTTTTGTTTTCATTTTTGTTTTAGTTTTTGGTGCTAGCAGTGGAAACCTAGCCCTGCATGCTAGACTTCATGTGTACTAGGCAAGCACTCAGCACTGAGCCACAGCCATAGTGCTTGTGAATGAAACAGCAGTGGATGTGGAGGGGCATGCAGAGTTGGCTTGGAGAGCCTGTTTTCAGTTTTTTCAGATAAACCCACAAATGAGATTGCTGCTGGGTCATTTGGTAATTCTATTTTTTTTTTTTTTTTTTTGTGCTAACCACTGCACCATCTTACACTCCGGCAAGTAGCTCTTAAGGGTTCTCATTGCTCCACGTCCTCACCAACACTTGTGCCTTTCTGTTTCCTGGATAGTGGCCATCCCAAGTGATATGTACCACTGACAATTTGGAATAATGAGAAACCAGGAACGTAATTATTATAGACTGAAAACGTACTAGTAAAAGTAAAATTTCACAGACCAAGCATATTCATTTAAAAAAAATCTTCTCTAACATTTAATCTATAAAGTGCCACACAGTTTTTCTTAATTGTTAGGCCCTGTTCTGTCTGCCTGCAACAGGAAAGTATAAGGAGTCTTAATGAAATATTGTGGTCTCCCTTTTTTTTTTTTTTTTTTTTGGTGTTCTGGAGCTGCTTCCACGTGCTTCAGTGTCTCATCCTTAGGGCAGTGGATATCTGTGGTTTTCAGTGGACGTAAAGTGATGTCAGGAAGGGACGGCACATGTTATGCATCAGCTATCCTGGGACTTGTGCATGCTGCTGAGGTGAAGGCGCGTGTTTTCATGCAGAGTCTCACTTGGGAAGTTAGCAGATGTGAAAAGCAGGCAGAGCAATGTATTATTTTAGGAAGAAAGAACACTGGCTAAGGAATGAAGAAAGACAATCTGCCAAGAAACTCATCGAAGAACTATAAAATAATAGAGTTGAATTTGAACTCTTTCAGCTATAAATTTGTAAATATGCTGTTATGTTGCTATTATATCTATATGATACTATTTTCCAAATAAGATGAGGCAGAAAAGCTTTTTTCAAGAAAGAAAACTATATATAATAAGGGACTTATGAAGGGAACTACGTTCTTTCTCTTCATTGCCTCGGTTTTATTAGTTTCTCTTACAATGCTCTGCTGGTTTGCATGAATTTTGTCTTCGTTGCTGCCACCAAGGGGTGGGTGCCGGACATTTACCGCATTTCTGACTGCCCTAAATTTAAGGAATTGCCTATTTGGACCCCAGCTGAGCAGGTTATGCAGTGAACACAGATAGTTCAGCCTTTTTTTCGAGGGGGCATGAGCAGGCAAGGTTTGTTTGGAAATCCTTTTGCAAAGCCCCAGCTGAGGGTGGCTTTTCTCCAATAGTAGCCAAACCCAAGGCCAGAGGAGACAGAGACCAGGAACTCCATCTGTGCATGGCCCCACAGGCTCCTAGCTTCTGGCCAGCCGCCCTGAGTGTGATTCTAGGCTCCTATAGCT